GTCACTGTAAAAGGTAAAGGTTTAGGTCGTGGCTACCCTAATTCAGAGGCTCTGCTGAGATGCTCACCTGTATAAACCATTAGGTTGGTGGTCACATAGAACACAGCCATTTCTGCAGTATCCCCGCCAAAGGATGGGATTTGATTCCAAGAGAGTTCAGGCAAACCTCCTTGCTAACTTAAATACCCATTTGGGTGCGCTTCTAGATTACAGTGGTGCCCCGCAAGACGAATGCCTCGCAAGACGGAAAACCCGCTAGACGAAAGGGTTTTCCGTTTTTCGATGCGCTTCGCAGGACGAATTTCCCTATGGGCTTGCTTCGCAAGACGAAAATGTCTTGCGAGTCTTGAGATTTTTTTCGCTCCCCCCCCCTTTTTCTAAGCCGCTAAGCCGCTAATAGCCTTTTAGCCGCTAAGCCTATAAGCCGATAAGACTTTAATTGTCGCTAAACCGCTAATAGCGCTAATCCGCTAAGCCGCTAATAGGGTTGCTTCGCAAGACGAAAAAACCGCTAGACAAAGGCACTCGCAGAACGGATTAATTTCGTCTTGCGAGGCACCACTGTATCAAACTCTGTTCTTCAGAGTTGGAAGGGTAATTTTGTTACTATGCTGTTTTGTGTATTCCTAGGATGGAATCTGATATTCTAATTGTTTTAGATGGGTTTTCAGATGGATTTTATGGATTTATATTTGTAAATGGTTATAAATAGCTTTGTGTGGGAGTTGCCTTAAAATCGGGCTAAAGGCCTTTTAAAAAAGCAAGCAAGCAAGCAAGCAAGCAAGCAAACAAACTATTGTGTAAACAAATAGAGGCTGCTAGAAAAACAACAACACTAGAGTAGGTTAAGCAATCACCAGTTAAAACTGAGTAATGCCTGCAGCCTCCCTCTCCCAGTAAACAGCAGTGACTCAGATGTCCGGTCAAGTGAGAGCTGCTGCTTCAGTACACCATCCATTCCTGTTGCCCATTTAGTCTATTTCTTGGTACCTGGTAATGCACCTGTTTCCCATTTTTGCTTTTGGAGAATTCCTTATTGTGTGAATTTCTAGATCTGTGTGTGTGTGTGTGTGTGTGTGTGTGTGTGTGTGTGAGGTGGTGGTTCTGGTTGAGTTCAGATGCCTGGGATTCTTAGAAATAAGAAGCTGGACTGACACTATGCTTATCAAATGGTACTTTGCTTGTTCACAGTTGCATACAGTCTGGTGCTGTCCGTCAAGAATTCTGTCTTAAATCCTGGGCTTAGGCCAGAGCACTCTGGAATCCTGCTCTAGATCAAGGAATGGATCTGCCACCTTGAAAGCATATTGTAGGGCAATAAGCTTTTTGAATCTATATTGGTCCAAAAGAACAAACTCTTTTCTTTTAAATTGGTGGAGCAAGGCAGGCTGTTGTAGAGTAAATGAATGCAGCAAACTGCAGCAGGACTAAAGCCTTTAAGAATGTGCATTTTTCAAGAAGGGAGGACAGGAGGCAAACATTGGTCATTGATTGTAAGAATTGGGATATTGCAAGAAGGTCCCCAATTGTGAAACACACAGAGCCAAACATGGAACAGGTTTGCTATTGCCTTAGTAATGACTATGGATGGAAAAATAATCAATTTCCGATCTTTGTCAATTTAGCATGTTCTCATTCATGAATCCATCCCATTTTTGCATTAATTTCTAAAAAAAATTGGAGGAGGGAAACTATCAAAATTTATATTTAAATACATATCTCACAAAATGTGTTTAAATATATTTAACCTCAGTGCACACATTTCTAAATGTATTTAGCCCTGGAAAACTTGTATTTTTAATGCATTAGACACATTTTTTGAGCCAAGAAATATATCGCAGAATTTAGAGAAGTGCAAGATTCAAAGGTTAATTCAGTTTCAGCGCAAATTTCCCCATATTTCTAAGCTGAAAGAACTAAGGGGAGTTCTCCAACATCCCTAATGACCCAAGCCCATGTCTCTGCACAGCTGCATATTGCTGCTAGAAGAGGTGAAAGATCAGGAATGCTTTCTTCTTATGCTTCATCCATTTTACCTCTATTTCAAAGTGAAACTCACTTTGTGAGGGCAGGAAGAGCAAAAATAATAACACTACCACAATAATCCTATTGAACACATTGAAACAAGGTTCCATCTCCAAACTGAATGCCGGAAAAATAGTCTTAGTAGCCTTTCAGCTCGTTTAGTTCGAAGGGCTAGTTAAGTTAATCACTCCGATGCCCTTTTACTAACTTGGTCAAATAACTGCATAGCATCGAAGGTCAGAGTTTGCAAACTGCTGGGCTCTGCAGTCTTTGGATGCTGCTGTTCTCTGGCTTCCATTTCCCATTGGAAAGTAATTGCTTCGAACACCAAAAAATGATTACAGAAGATTATACCTTTTAAAGGCAATTGTGGAATCTTGAGCAATGGAGGAACACAGCACGTTAGAAGTAGTATGACTTGCACAGCAATTACTCACCTTGTTGTATCTAATCTCAGAAAGCTCAAATTGCCCATTATTTGAGCATAGTCTTTCTGTGAACCCAACAACCATGGAGAAAATGGCTGCCTTGCCTTGAGATATATGAAAGAAGATGCAGGCACCATTAGGTGGCTGCCATCAATAGGAACAGAACTTGATTAGAGTCAAACAAGTCCTACTTGCTCAGACCAGGAATCCTTTGGCTCAAACAGCTACCATTAACACCACCAATCCAAAAGGTTGCAGATGTCAGAGAGAACTTCCTTTTGAGGCTCACTAACTTACATACAGGGACCTTCAAGAACAAGCCCCATCAGCTGCCTCTAGCAAGGAGAGCTGCTGAAGCCTTGGTACACCTGACATCAGCCTTCCTCAACTTGTTGTTATCTAGATATTTTGGACTACAACTTCCTTAAACCCCCAGTCAGCAATGTTGTGCTGGCTGGAGCTAATGGGAACTGTAGTCTTAAACATCCAGAGGGCACCAAGTTGAGGAAGGCTGTCTTAGATTTGAACCATTCACCAAGGAGATAAGTAGAGCCGTTCTGGGTGTTAAATGCTGCCTTGTGGTTTAGGCTTTAGCTGTGGGTTGAACTGAACGTTTGAGATGTCATAATGAATAGAAAGCAATAGTAGTACTATAAAGAAGGGCAACAACTTTCAAGGCAAATGTCTTTGCGGATTGGTAGAGTGCCCACATTTTCAAAATGCTTTTTGATTCGCCTTCTAAAACAGCTCCATGAAGTTTGTATGTTATGGAATAACATGGCTGCTGTTGAGAAGCTTTGTTGCAAAAGTGGAGGCTCTGGGCTTCAGCCATGAAGTATGTTCTAGTAATTGGTTAGATCAGCCCATGCCAGCACTACTGATTCCTAGAAGTGGCCACCAGTCCTTGTGTGATCAGACCAATGTATACAGCAAACTGATTGCCTGTGTTACAGCTCCTGCATACAGCCTCCATTCATTTGCCGTTTCTCAGTGGCATTAGTAGGATGGTCATAAAGTGTGAGGCATGTCACAGTGGAGTGAAGGCACCCAAATCCCAAAGTTTGGAATGGAAATGTGACTTTTCACACATTGCTAGTTGTGCACATTCATGAAGTTGAACTAGAAAGGGTTCTGAGCTGGGTGTTACTTTTCGGGTTCCCAATTGTCTGGAGACAGCTTCCAGTGGAAGTTAGCTTAGCTCAACTCATTTAGTAGTTCAAGAAGGTAACCCTCTTTTCTTGTGCTTTTTCTGCAGTGGGTTAGGTTTTTAATGAAAAGTGATCTCGTAACTAGAACATGAGGAGCCTGCAACAAAATGTTGCAGTGTGGACTGCCACACCCTTTTTCAGAACTCTCCATTCCATTTTCCCTCTCTACCAGCTTCACAGGGTTCCCCCTGCCAACAGACATATTTTGTGGCTACCGAGTATGTCCACTCCTCATTGGGCTGTTTTGGGGAACTCTCCTCTTAGAGTTCTCCATCCTTGGTTTTTGGATATTGTATTTTCATTGCAGATGGAATGCAGTTCGGGTAGATGTTTCACTCTGCTTATTTTTGGCTATAAAGATGCAGAAGTGTTGAGCATTTAAGTTTGATCTTTGTCAATCTGAAGGCGTTTGCAGAAGTGGCAAGGAGGTATTGGAGATGTTCTTAACCTATAAAAGAACCTTTTCCAACAAGAAGTTATAATAACAGGCATGAACTACTCAATTTAAAAATGTGTGTAGGTGTGGAAAGGAAAAGATTAAAAGAATATGATTCATTATGGTAGACCTCTTGATGGTGAGTGTCTCTCAGACTGCAGGATTTGCTTCTGAGTAGACACATATGGTGTTATACTGTTAGTGTACTCCAAAGTTTTGCAAAACACCCTTTAGCTGAAAGGCTAAAATATATTTTCATTTATAATTCATTTCCCATGCTTGTGTACTTTCTGTCTCTACATATAGCGGAGAATGAATATCGTTCTGTTCTTGCTGAGGAAAGGTTATTTGGAATCTGAAAGCTTTGGAACCCATAGAAGTTACTTTTTCCAAGTATTTATTATGCACCATTTATTCTACAGAACAATCTTCCCCAACCTGGTGCCCTCCAGATATTTTGGACTACAGTGCTTATCAGCACCAGCAAAGTTGGCCAGTAGTCAAGGATGAAGGGAATTCTAGTTCATAACATCTGGAGGGCATCAGGCTAGCGAAGTCTGCTCTAGAACCAACAGATAAATAAATCCTCTTTGGGCAATTTAATGCAAATGACATGGAAGATGAGGGAAATGTTCACTCTCCCCTCATGTTCATAATTGCATGAGAAAGAATGCCCTTATAGGGCTGTTCTGGCCTATAGAAAACATGGAAAGGATGAGTGGCAAGCTGAAATAATATGCAGCCTTACCTGGGTGTAAGTCCCACTGCATTCGGTTCAGACCTGCACATTTAGGGGCAGCTAAACATGCATAGGGGATGCAGGGACAAGGCTGCCAACTCCATCCTCCAACTCATGGGAGGCAACTGTTAGAAGCCGGGAACTTAGAGTACAGTTGGCCTACCAGTTATGCAAAGGGTTCAATTCCAGAGACCCTTGTGCAAAGGCCAAATCACACAAAGTGAGTAATCCTTGGAATTGCCCCTCCCTGGTGAGACAGAGGGCTGCTTACTGCCCTCTGGGACACTCCCAGAGCCTTTGCAGCTCCTTCCCAGAGCCCAGTAAGCATGAAAAACCCTCTGGGTGCACAGGTGGGGGATACATATATGGAGAGTGGGGAATGGCGGGTTTCCCCTGCACTTCATTTATTAATTTATCGTCCCTCTTCCCCCTTTTATGGTTGTGATAGTGTATGTAAAGCAAGTGTAAATTGCAGGCTCACTGTACTAAATGTGCATGTCTGAAGAGGGCTTTACTTTGATATAAAAGTACTTTCAGTGGAGTTTACTTTCATGTAAGCAGACAAGATCAATATCTATCTCCCTACATTTATCCATATAAAACAGACAAGCTTAAAAGTGTAGGTCATCTTGGTAGGTTGGCAGTGTAGGTCATCATGGATAAGTAATGTTTGAGACCTGTTTAGTTTAGCTACAAAAGATTTATCTTCAGACATCCTTCAGTGAGGGATAAGATTCTTTTTGTGTTCTTTCATATAGTTGGGAAAGCTGAGAAAGAAAGGTTAAGTGGTTTGCTCAGAATCACAGAGGGAGTAAGGATTAGATCTCAAGAATATTTGATTCCCTCTCAGCCTATGACACCTCTCAAAACCCGATAAAGAGAGATTATGAGATAGCTCACTGTGTTGGAACAAGATTATCATGGGATTTTGATGACCCAATGATGACTAAAAGATCAAAATTCAAAATGATTTGCCATATCTCCCTATGCCACTTCAAATGTGCTTGGTTTTTTTAAAAAATGAAAAAAGGACTGATTTTATTGGGTGTGAAAGGTACATAGGAACACAGTAGGTGCCCTGCAAGATCTGACTAAATTTACCCATTTAATTCCGTCTCCTGTTCTCACAGTAGCCAACCAGCTTCCAATGGGAAACCCATGAGCAGAGATCTGTCCTAATTGTTGCTTATACTTCTTTTCACTCAAAGGGAAGTATGAAAGACAGGGCATGCGTAACATACCTTTTCCAAAGGCTGTTATCAGCCCATCACTGATGTGCTGCTGTTTCCTGATACACTTCTCTGACTTGCTAAGGGTACCTAACAGGAACCCAAGAAAAGACAGGAGCAGTTAAGACTATTACAAAACAGTGATGAGATGATAAAACTACTCCTGGACTATAGGATAGGGACAACAAAACTATAATATCACAGGCAAAGCTATAATATCAGGAAAAATCTTAAGAGACTCCATGCTGTCTGATTGTCAATGGGCATGAGGCTTTATTCAATCATATGATGCCACTCTTCCTTATTTGCTATTTCTCTGAAAGTATGCCTTAGCTGCAATTGAGACCCTGACTCAAAGCACTGTATGTGAAATAGTTAATGCCTATTAATCAGAAGGACATTTGGGCTGCAATATCATACACACTAGGGACGCGGGTGGCGCTGTGGGTTAAACCACAGAGCCTAGGACTTGCCGATCAGAAGGTCGGCGGTTCGAATCACCGCGACGGGGTGAGCTCCCGTTGCTCGGTCCCTGCTCCTGCCAACCTAGCAGTTCGAAAGCACAGCAAAGTACAAGTAGATAAATAGGTACCGCTCCAGCGGGAAGGTAAACGGCATTTCCGTGTGCTGCTCTGGTTCGCCAGAAGTGGCTTAGTCATGCTGGCCACATGACCCAGAAGCTGTACGCCAGCTCCCTCGGCCAATAAAGCGAGATGAGCTCCGCAACCCCAGAGTCGGCCACGACTGGACCTAATGGTCAGGGGTCCCTTTACCTTTACCTTACCATACACACTTATTATTGAGGTTGGTGGGGCTTGCTTCTGAGCTGATGTGAATAGGCTTGCACCACTGAGCACATTTCTTCATGTCCCAAAGAGACGATTGCATATCTGCTGTCAGCAGCTTTGGTCATACTTGTCTTCTGTAATTGCTGCCTCTGTGCTTCCTACCTTCCTATGCCTGGACCAGGATCCTTCCTTTATTCATGAGGATAATGTCACTTTCCAATATCTATTTCATTAACAAAGGCTTTTCTGAGCCTCCATTGGTCTCACCTTAACTGATCCTTCTCTGGGACTTCTCTGAATTTTGGGAGGTGGGCTTTGTGCTTGCTTTAGTCAAGCTATGGACACAGTGGTTTTTTTCCTCTTCTTCCTGCTGGCCATACTTTTCAGAATGTGTTAGGACTGATGTGACATGATATGGCATTGCTCTCAAGATGTTTCAGGAAGCTTCCTACTGACCACACTTTCTATAAACACACAACATGGTTTGTTGTTTTGCCCACACCTGTTGAAAGACTGTTCAAAAATGAAAAATTTCAGCTGGGATGACTTTGGACAAGCTACTCTCAGTAGCTGGTCATCCCAGTTTTTGACTATGACTATATGGAACTTTGGGCACTTCCTTGCTGAGGTGCAAATATTATGGCAACAGCACAGTCTTTATTTAATATTCAGTACCAATAGGACCTGCATTTTTTGTATGTATTCCTTTTATTATGGAGCTAATTCTGTACACACAAACTTCCAAAACATGCACAAATCTTCAGGATGAAACTTCACCATTCAAAAAGTGAAGGGAAGTGGAAATTTTAAAAGGTTTGTTCAGATAGATCTGTAAAACAGGAGGGGGGAGCATATATATACTGTTCCATCTTTGCATATTGGTTGTTTTGAGACTAGGCTATTACCATGTAAAGTAAACTACATCAATCTTACATACGTTGTTGCATATGGTTCCGTGTTACCCATTACACTTAGCAAGTCTGTTTGTCAGAAAACTCTAATTGCTTTATGCGTGAGAACATTAAGCTGCAGTAAATTTCTATACACAGCTGTTCCATTACTGCAGAACAAATTTTATCTCCTAATAAATTGATGTTTCTTTTTAGTGTCAACTCAAACCAAAATTTACATCCCAGTAGGTGAACCTTAACACTGTATAATTAGTTTGCTGCCGGGACTGGTAATAAGAGGGTACATCCTTTAAATATATCAGTGAAGGAAAAGTTTTGGCTTCTGCTAATTGTTTCTTGAAAGCTTAATTGTGATTAAGAGGAACTTTAACTAGGGGGAGGGGAAGGAAAGGCGAAAAATTATGACCTTTAAAACACATATTGCAAATAGCATGTCTTCCTTTGGTCTAAGTTCCACCATAAAGAAGAAATACTAAAAGCTTCCTCTAATACCAAGGAAGAAAGATGCAATGCTGCTTTGCTATGGAGTCACATTTAGGTTAATGGAACAGGAGCTTATACAGCTCTGGACTTTGATTAATATTTAATTAATCTTCAGTAGAAGGCTGAGATTTTGAATTAAACAGGCCACTAATAAAAGAGCCAATTCACCAAAGAGTTCACATAAATCTGATCTGCCATTATGGTGATTTAAAATAAAATGCGCTAGGTTTTGTTCTTATTTTAGGCTTGCTTCAGCCACAAGTAATTGGCCAGGAACAACTGGATCGGTGGAATGTGACCAGAAATGAATGGCAGTAATCCAGCTGCATGGAGACATGTGAAGGAGAAGGAGGCTAGTTCACCAACACAGGAGCCAGATATATGGAGAAACGTATATCTGGATATATGGAAAGACATGGAAGGTGTCTTTACACTAATGCGCAAAGCATGGGAAATAAACAAGATGAGCTTGAGCTCTTGGTACAGCAAACTAAATATGACATCATAGGCATCACTGAAACCTGGTGGGATAAGTCCCACGATTGGAATGTAATAATGGAGGGATACAATCTATTTCAGAGAAATAGACCAGACAAGAAAGGAGGAGGAGTGGCGTTATATGTCAGGGATGTGTATACCTGTGAAGAGATCCAAGATTTAGAACCTCAAAGCCAAAGTGAGAGCATTTGGGTCAAAATCAAGGGAGAGAAGAATAACAGTGACCTCATTGTGGGAGTTTACTATAGATCCCCAAGCCAAACAGAGGACATAGATGATGCCTTCCTGGAACAGATGGCCAAGCATGCAAAAGGAAGAGATAGTAGTAATGGGGGACTTCAATTACCCGGATATTTGTTGGATGTCAAACTCAGCCAAGAGCATAAGGTCAAACAGATTCCTCATTGGCCTTGCAGACAACTTCATTGTCCAGAAAGTGGGAGAAGCAACAAGAGGAACAGCCATTTTAGATCTGGTCCTAACCAATGTTGATGACCTGGTTAGTGGGGTAGAAGTGGAAGGATCATTAGGCGCGAGTGATCATGCTCTTCTGAAGTTTACTATACAGCGGAAAGGAGCAGCCAAGCATATTAGGACTCAATTTCTTGACTTTAAGAAAGCCAACTTCATAAAACTTAGGGAAGTGCTGGGTGAGATCCCATGGACAGTAATACTAAAAGGAAAGGGAGTTCATGATGGCTGGGAGTTTGTTAAGAGGGAGATAGTAAAAGCACAACGTCAGGCAATACCAATGAGATGGAAACATGGAAGGTGCCTAAAGAAGCCAGGGTGGCTATCTAAAGAACTTTTAACTGAGTTAAGATTAAAAAGGATGTGTACAAAGAATGGAAAAGGGGGGAAACCACCAAAGAGGAATTCAAACAAATAGCCAGCACGTGTAGACACAAAGTCAGAAAAGCTAAAGCACAGAATGAACTCAGGCTTGCTATAGAGGTTAAAAGCAACAAAAAGGGCTTTTATGGGTATGTTCGTAGCAAAAGGAAGAACAAAGAAACAGTGGGGTCACTCAGAGGAGAAGATGGTGAAATGCAAACAGGGGACACAGAAAGGGCTGAACTCCTCAATGCCTTCTTTGCCTCAGTCTTCTCCGATAAAGAAAGCAATGCCCGACCTGAAGAATTTGGAGCAAATGATTCAGCAGAGGAAACACAGCCCAGAATAACTAAGGAGATAGTACGAGAATACTTGGCTAGTCTAGATGTATTCAAGTCTCCAGGGCCAGATGAACTGCATCCAAGAGTATTAAAAGAACTGGCAGATGTGATCTCAGAACCACTGGCAGTCATCTTTGAGAATTCCTGGAGAACAGGCGAAGTCCCGGCAGACTGGAGGAGGGCAAATGTTGTCCCTATTTTCAAAAAGGGGAAAAGAGAGGACCCAAATAATTACCGCCCAGTCAGTCTGACATCAATACCAGGGAAGATTCTGGAGCAGATCATTAAGCAAACAGTCTGTGAGCACCTAGAAAGGAATGCTGTGATCACCAATAGTCAGCATGGATTTCTGAAAAATAAGTCATGTCAGACTAACCTGATCTCGTTTTTGACAGAATTACAAGCCTGGTAGATGAAGGGAATGCAGTGGATGTAGCCTACCTTGATTTCAGCAAGGCATTTGACAAGGTGCCCCATGATATTCTTGTAAAGAAGCTGGTAAAATGTGGTCTTGACTATGCTACCACTCAGTGGATTTGTAACTGGCTGACTGACCGAACCCAAAGGGTGCTCATCAATGGTTCCTCTTCATCCTGGAGAAGAGTGACTAGTGGGGTGCCACAGGGTTCTGTCTTGGGCCCGGTCTTATTCAACATCTTTATCAACGACTTGGATGATGGACTCAAGGGCATCCTGATCAAATTTGCAGATGACACCAAACTGGGAGGGGTGGCTAACACCCCAGAGGACAGGATCACACTTCAAAACGATCTTGACAGATTAGAGAACTGGGCCAAAACAAACAAGATGAATTTTAACAGGGAGAAATGTAAAGTATTGCACTTGGGCAAAAAAAATGAGAGGCACAAATACAAGATGGGTGACACCTGGCTTGAGAGCAGTACATGTGAAAAGGATCTAGGAGTCTTGGTTGACTACAAACTTGACATGAGCCAACAGTGTGACGCGGCAGCTAAAAAAGCCAATGCAATTCTGGGCTGCATCAATAGGAGTATAGCATCTAGATCAAGGGAAGTAATAGTGCCACTGTATTCTGCTGTGGTCAGACCTCACCTGGAGTACTGTGTCCAGTTCTGGGCACCACAGTTCAAGAAGGACACTGACAAACTGGAACGTGTCCAGAGGAGGGCAACCAAAATGGTCAAAGGCCTGGAAACGATGCCTTATGAGGAACGGCTAAGGGAGCTGGGCATGTTTAGCCTGGAGAAGAGGAGGTTAAGGGGTGATATGATAGCCATGTTCCAATATATAAAAGGATGTCACATAGAGGAGGGAGAAAGGTTGTTTTCTGCTGCTCCAGAGAAGCGGACACGGAGCAATGGATCCAAACTACAAGAAAGAAGATTCCACCTAAACATTAGGAAGAACTTCCTGACAGTAAGAGCTGTTCGACAGTGGAATTTGCTGCCAAGGAGTGTGGTGGTGTCTCCTTCTTTGGAGGTCTTTAAGCAGAGGCTTGACAACCATATGTCAGGAGTGCTCTGATGGTGTTTCCTGCTTGGCAGGGGGTTGGACTCGATGGCCCTTGTGGTCTCTTCCAACTCTATGATTCTGTGATTCTATGATTCTATGATTCTATGATTCTATGATTCTATGATTCTATGATTTGGGTTTCTTTAAATTAAACAGCATTGAGGAGAGATTTGTAGTGGCCACATAATGCATACTTCTAATTCCTAATTCCTTGCTCTGAGAGCGCAGAGTTCCCTCTGAAGATGGACTGATCATTAAAGTTTAGAAGGGGAATAGGGGTCTCTGAGCAAAAAGCAACACCCTTCAGAAACTACAGCTCCCAGAATGCTTTGGGGGAAGCCATGACTATTTAAAGTGGGATCATAGTGCTTTAAATGTACAGTGTAAATGTGACCCTTATCTCTGCCATGAATGCTGTAGGCCAGGCATAGGCAAACTCGGCCCCCCAGATGTTTTGGGACTACAACTCCCATCATCCCTGACCACTGGTCCTGTTAGCTAGGGATGATGGGAGCTGTAGTCCCAAAACATCTGGAGGGCCGAGTGTGCCTATGCCTGCCTTAGGCACACCTAAGGGTTACTGAGAGACTTTATTAGTCTCTGCAGTTGGCAAACATTTAGTCCCAGCCTTTACATTTAGAATAAAAAAAGTGAGAATTGCAATTTTATAGCCATGATAAACCTATTTATAGTCCCAAAAATCCAGATTGGGGAAATTCCACCGTATTAGAGAATAGCATTTTCTCTCTGTTTAGGTAAAAGAACGTCTGTCTCTGAAGCCAATGATACATATCTGAAACTAATGAACCAAACTGCACATTCTTGCACTCAAAATAGTGTTAAGGGATCTGAGAGGGAGAATTTTAAAAGCTTTTGGGAGGCAGGGGGGTCGACATGTTTACTGTGGCTATCAAATGAACATAACCTGTTGGCATCCGTCTGTCTTGAGAGACAATGGGAAGAGTGCCACCAGGGGTAAAGTCAAACTGTTGGAGAGTTACAGTGCCTATTGTGGCTGTAGAAACCAATATGGGAGGGACATGTTTTATTGCACCTGGGGCAGATGAAGGCACCTGGTTTTGCTGCTACAGATGGACAATGGCACTTCTTCTCCCTGTGCTCCTCCCTCTTCTGGTCACTACTGTGGATATATGACCTGACTGTCTTGTCTCCAGGCATTGCAGTCATTTGCAAGGGATTCTCACATAGTGGGGTTAATGTTGCCAGCCTTTATGTCACGTTTCCCGACAACTTTATAACACAGAGTTGGTTTGCCAGCAGCCCTGGTGCCTGAAGCCAGCTCCCTGTAAAGCACATCCTTGGAGATCCAGCCATCTTCCATTCTGTGTCCATGACGCAAGCCAGTGTAGCCATGGCTGAGACAGAAGTGCAGACATACTGGGAATATGGCTTGGCAGAGCACATCTTTGTTTGAGACTCTGTCCTGCCATGTGGTGCCCAAAATCTTCCTTACACAGTGCAGGTGGAAGGCAGGGAGGTGTTGTTCCTGACCCAGGATGTTGGTCTTCACCAGGCTGATGGGAAGGCTGAACTCCATGCAGACTTGGGCAAAACAGTTGCTGAATCTCTGTAGAGCTTCCCCAGAGTGCTCTGTCAAGGCTGTGCCATCTGCAAACAACATCAAATGAACCTAACCTGTAAATTTCAGCTTTTTATTCTCAATATCCAGGCAGTCACTAGTTTCGCTGATCTACATTATGTTTTAAAACTGTTATAGTAATACAATTGTTATTATTACAACTCTGTTATTTTACTAAAGCTATTATTTTTCTGTTAAATACCATGTGAGAGGTAAAGGGGGTGATAGTTCTGCATCCAAAGCTGTGTAAACCAAATTACTTTGGTCCTAGAGATTCAATGAAGGAGGGGGATAATTGGGCCCCCAAATTCCGCTGTATAGATCAACGCAGTTCTAATTCTTGCCTTCTCACTGAGGTTATAAACCATATTTAAGGAAGCTTTTATATAACTCAGTCGCACCTGTGGCACTGACCATTCATTTTTAAATCTTTCTTTATAAATCCAGGATGAGAGAGACAGGGAGAACTATATAGATGTTCCAATATCTCTATTTTGTTTTACTGTGAGAATCCAGTGTATAGAAATGCCCTCCTGACAAATGCAGAACGTTTAAAGTATCATTGTACTTTATTCATGAAGAGGGATCAGGGGATTGCTTCAAACAAACCTTACTAGCCTTTCTAAAATATGATAACATAGGCAATTTCTGTTGAACATGATGACTCTGGACTGATTGCAATGGGTAGGAAATTCTAGAGGCTCTTATCAGATCTGAACACAAGGAGAGACTTATGAAGCCATGTGGAAACTTTAGAGATTTGTATCAGTGGTCATTTATAGGTAGAATGCTGAGTATTGTGCAGAATAAATATGCTGCTTAGCTTACATTAAATGCAGTGAATTCTGGAAGGATCCATTGGAATTTGCCATTAAAGAAGGAAAGGGACTGTTTCTAGAGATAGGTGGTAGATTATAAAGGATCTGGTAGGCCATTTTCTCCATGCTCCGAATTACTCCACTCTTATTGTCAATGGATGCATTCCAAAATCACATTGCCTTTTTAATACATATATTTTTATTCAATATGGTGACATAAAGATGCTGTGAAATAGATGTGAATGAAACCAATAGCCACTTTCCATCCCTATGCACTTATAGGTGCATAGGTAGGTTCCACTACCAAGATGTTTCTCCTGGCTTTATTTTCCAAATTGTAAACTTGCACAGTTAATTTATTTAATAATTTCTCTTGCATGTCTAATGTGACAGACTATTGGTTTTGTTTTTCTAACAGATCCTTTTGCACCTTGTTATAATTAATGATTATTTTCCAGAGCATCCAACTTGCTTTCCAATTTTCTCATTCCATCTTCAGCTTGCTTTTTCAATATCTCAATTGTTTGATCAATATGGTGTTCTAACCTGCCAATTTCAGATAAAAAATATTTATTTTAGTCCTTTGGAAGTAATTGTAAATGCAGCATCTTTACTGCTGTGTGTTTCTTTTGAGTCAAATTAGACACAGTTTACACTTTTGATAGCATTACAATATCATTTCTGAGGTGGGGCACCCAAAAGTATATGGCTGCAGCATAGTTATCCATGGTAGGTCTTATTTTCAGCACCTTTTCCTCACAATCGTCAACCCGGAATTCACTTTTTCCAGAGCTCCTCTGCTGACCCAGTTTGCATGCAACAATA